AGAAACATTTAGTTTAAATCTGGGGATCGGGACCAACCTCCCTCCCCTACCTTAAGTCCATCTTTATGATTAGGGATTCAACCCATAAACCAACCAAACCAGCCTCACGTCAATGTTTGCTTCAATTCCAAGCCCTCCAAAAAGGCTTTACTGTGTTTATATTTAAAATACACTAAATGGAACTGCTCAAAAATCACCCTCAAAATAGGCAAGGTGGATTTTCTTTCGCCAGCAGCTAAACATTTCCGCAATCCAAGGGCTTATTTTGGGGGGAATTAACAGCCAAGTCTCCTACAATCCATCGGTTTTATATCAAGCTGCCAGAAACCATGTTTTCTCCCTCTGGCTGTTGATGGAGGCTATTCTCGGAGGTTTTGAAGAGGGCACTATCTTCTTCCAAGGCATTGTAACCACAACTTGCTTACGCGTTTTCTTATACAGAAACAGGAGCCACGAAGAGGACCTCAAGAGACTTAGATGCTATCTTACAGAATACATCTTCTTTCAGCAGGAATTTATTCCAAAAGAAGAAGGCTGTGAGATAGTGCTGTGATGGAGGGAAATGCCAAGCAGAAGCAGGATTTTAACTGATTTAACTTTGGCTAATTTAGCGATCCGTTTGCCTATGCTGCTAAAAACCAACATTTAGGCACTTCTTTTGGGGGAAATAAGGTTGTCGTTTTTTAAACATGTCTTTTGTACAAAGAACCATATTAAGTGGGTGGTTTAATTTCCTATGATAGTATCAGAAGCAAAATAAATATTTTTTCAATGGAAAAAAAAATGTCTTTTTTATCTGGAAGTTCACTAATTAAAAATTTATCTTCCTGAAGAACGAAGAACCAAATTTGTCCTAGAGTGGTCCAGTTTACATTGGTAGTTTAAACAAAACTGCAGTTCTCCATTTAATTAAGTGAAGCGCGATTTGCTTTCCAGTGGTTATCTTCGTGGAGAGAAGATAAGTGCAAATCAATGGGCATTTTTACCATAATTAATTAACTGCACCCCATATCTCAGAGATAACCTGATCCACATCGAGTCTAAAACCTAGAACTATGTAGAACACGTAAGACAAGAGTGTGTTGCTTTTTGCTCAAAAATAATATATTAGTATACAGCTGAACAGGTGTGTGCAGAATGTATAAAATCCTGGCACCCATTCCTTGCATACATGCTCAAAAACTCTAACCATTTTATAGGCTTTTTAGTTGAAAGGGATGTCAAGAAGGGAATTCATACGTCCTTCTAAAATACTGCAAAGAATGTTCTTCCTGTCTCCTCATCCTGGAACGGGGGTGGGTGCATCTCCTGCCAAGGGAAGAGGTCTTATCAATGCCCATTAGTCCTGAGGGTCAGATGAAGCCTCCCCCTCTAAAGGCCTTCCACCCTTGAAGACTATTTGGGAAGAATCAGGAGAGCCCTATTTCGCTGGGATCTCACTTGGGGCCTTCTCAGAGGCACCGTTGCTCCAACTCTAAAAGGAGAACTGAATCATCTTAGGGTTCTCTGTGCGGTGAAGGCAGAAAATGAACTGGTCCGTTGCCTATCTTGTGCCAAATTAGGTCTTCCCCCGGGAGGTTGTCCGGCAGAGTATATTTGTCTCCATTACAAGTTCAGGCTGAAGGAGACCCAGAAAAGCTTTGACAGTTCCTGCCCTCCCCACCCACCCCTTTCAGTTTTTAGATATCTTTCTGTCTGGACACTTTTCTTTACCTCCCCTGATTGGCCTGGAAAGTTTGAAGTAAGTGCCAGCCCAGCCAGCTACTGGCTTCCCTGAGGAAAGGGGGAGGGGGGCCCCTAGCAATTTTAAAAGAAGCAGAAAAATAAAGAAGGGCGACTGAGAGCCCAAGATTGTGATGTATCATTGTTGGTACTGTTTGTAAGATGCCCAGCGTTATGCTACAGAAGACGGGTGGTTATATGCATCTTTCAAATGAATGAATGAATGAAAGCAGTGAACCTCTCGGATTTGGAATAAGCTTACTTCAGAGTAAGAAGAGACGGGGGGGGGGCGCTGGAGATGTGGGGTGAGGCCAGAACTGAGAGTTGCTGGGATTAACCCTGGTCTTGCAGGCAGAATTCAAAGAGCTATTTGGGGACAGCCACTCGCAGCCTAACCTACCTTGCAGGGTTGTCGTGGCGGGGATAAAAGCAAGAGAGGGCTGCCCGGTCAGTGGCCTTGGGCTCTCAAAGAACATGCAAAAGACGGTGATGGTGATGATAGAACTTCACCCCGTTGCTCCAGATCTTCAGACTAAAGGCAAGAGGCCCCAGACTCCCAAATCTTTCTGCAGGGCAGACAGATCTTCCCTTTCTCTCTTCCTCCCTACCAGAAACCCGAGATCCGCCCAGCCTCAGCCTGGCTCAGAAGGCAGGCGAACGAAGCCCGGGGCTCCGAAGCAGCGGCTTCCACTCAGCCGCCCAGCGCCACCCCGACCTTCTGCCCCTGCCTGCCGCCCAAGGGAGCCGAGAATCCCACGCCGGCGAAGGAGGCAAGTTCCCTCTCGGGTCGGGTAGAACGGAGCGTTCCGTTTCCAAGAGAGCAAGTCCGATTCAAAGAAGGGGGGGTTGGGGGACGAAAGGGAGAGAAGGCTTTCCGGGAGTCAGATCTGATTCGGCCGCGTTGGGGGGAACTTCTTATCGGGGGGGGGAAAAAAAGACAATTTAAGAACCAAGCTCCGCGTCTCTGGCTGGAAGTCAAGCTGCCCGATTAGCTTCCGGGGCTGTTCGCCAACCGGCAGGATCTGAAGTTAAATCGGTGGCTGACCTGGGATGATTCGGACGACGCCACTGGGCGAGTTCCCTTTCACAGAGACACCCGCGGACTGCGCTCCGTCCGCCTGCTCTCGCCTCGTTCCCTGCTCGTTTCTCCCACCCGCGGCCGCGGGAACACCCGTGAGCGCGACCCTCCTTCCCAAGGCCGGCCCTGGGAGTCGCGAGGACGCGGGAAGAGGCCAGCAACGATTCTGTCTCCGCGAGCTCCGGACTCGTCTCCAAAACACCAGCATAGTTCCCACTTCAGGAAAAGAAGAGTCAAGGGAATGAATTAAAAAACGGTTGGTCTCGAGGCCCACAGACCGAGGAGCAGCGGGTAAGTCGCTCCTTAAAAAAAAAAGACCTCTCCTCGTGTAACCCCCCTCGGGATTCGGACCGGCTCCGGAATCCGCGTCCTTCCAGGTTGAACTATAGCTTCGCGGCACGGCGGACTACGGACCCTACTGGCTGGGCCTTACTGGCACTGAAGTCCCCCAACCGGGACAAGCCCCCTCAGCCGGGGCTTCGGCGCGGAAGACGCGACGCCCGATTCACCCGCGAAAGCGGTTTCCAACGGAGGTCGCAAACGGCCCCCCCGGGGAAGGCTGCGGACCCCTTCCCCGCGCTCTTCGGCGTCCCCTCCCCCTTGTGCTGGCGCGGCAAAGGTTCCTTT